CTTGTTACATGGCAAAGAATATGCCAGAGTTGAAGCAGGTAAAGTTTGCTAAACAAATTCAAATTTATTGCAGACTGCTGGTGAGTTTTAATACTTTCATTGTTAAATAGATTCCAGTTTTCAGATCTAAGCATTTTGAGGTAATTTATGAGTAATTCTAATTTAATATCTTAATTGAATGGTATGCGGCCTGAAAAAGGTTTGCCACCACTCTCCTAGTACATTATCGTATTCTTTTTTATACATTTCTTTTCATTTTTATCATGTTATAGACAATTGCAACATTTCTGAAATCTTACACTGTTTTTATAAATTAGTATATCAATTACATCAAACATACATTAGTACATCACATAACACATTTACATTAATATACCTAATTATATTAAATTGTTTTTTAATGATTTAATTAGTGCAAGATTTTTTTTCCCTTCATCTTCTAGTACATTGGCATATTCTTAATGTAATTATTTTGTTAAAACACATTCTACCATATTTAGCCTGTTTCAGGCATTTGCAACATTGCTGAAATCTTGCATTATTTTTGTAAGTTTTGGAATATATGGTATTTATACAGACATGATAACGTCATTACATATGTCTTCTCTTTTATGTGACAAAAGTTTTTTCATAAGCAAGGAAATCTTATGTTGTAATTGAAGGAATGTTAGTAAGCATTTAATGTACTATGGCGTAACTTGTAGCCTCTCTTTTGTGAGCTGGCACTTGAAAATAAAGTGCTCTGGGTCTCCTTTTTCTCCACATATGTCCTTGTCTGAGTCGCTCAGATTTTGTGCAAACTAGTATGTAGGGAAAGTACCATATCCAGATAAAAAGTTAATAAAGAAGATCTAAGAAATTGGATCATATGTGGGTTTTTTATAGAAGTTAAAAAGCCTTCTACCTACTTCTGCATTTTCCCATTCAGCTTGCCATTTCTTTAACGTAATTTTTCTCAGCATATGTTTGCATACGATTTTAGGAATGGGACATTGATTTGATGGTAGACATGGGTGTTGAGCTGCATTCTTTAGCGCATCTGCCCTTTCATTGTGGGCTTGTCCTGCATCTGCTTTTGCCCACTTTATTTTTATAGACATCCTATTGCACTGTGATATTAAATCAACATATCTTGTACTATTGATGATTTGTTTTTTGCATCAACAACAGCTTTTATTGCTGCTTGGATATCACTGTAGATGGTAATGTATGTTAAATGCCTTTGATAAGCCCATAGAATATCATGTTTTATGGCTGAAAGCTCAGCTGAAAATGCTGCTGTTGTTTCTTGTTATGAGAGGAGTGTAAAGAACGTGCATCCTACTTCTTCGTTTATCTTTGACCCATCTGTGTACACTACTGGAAATGTAGATACACTGCATAAAAAAAAGGGACAGTTCTATATCTCCCGTTTTACTGGACCAATTGACAAAATTTAAATTGCATTTTTCATGTCTCGAAAGTGCGACTTAGGATATATATTAGATTTATATATATCTTTGTTCTAACAGGTATTTTGATACAAAATCCGACTTTTTCTGAAATAGCATACCAATTGTTTTTTCATATTTTGATTCTACGACTCAAGATTATGCTTAGGTATTAAATTTTGTGCGAAATTTACAGAGAAATTCAAAAATTTGTCTTTGCGCAATTTTTTAAGTTGCGCCAATAATAATTCACTTTCCGAACTTCTTAATATGTGGCAACCAAATTTCCTTTTCCTTTCATTATGTCAGACCAAAAAAAAAAAAGCACCTCGTTCCTACCTTTTTACATTGTGCATGAGAGGAAACAAAAGTCACATCATTCTTACTTTCAAATAATTGTAGCAAAATGTCTAAACCATATTTGATGCTTTATCGCTTTCAACAAATATGGCAAATTTCAAAGTGTGCCAATATGAAAATTCTTGTATATCTTCAGAAATTTTGAATAAAAAATTGTAATTTTTTGCAGGTATGCTTAAAGATATGTCTACTTTAAGGTGATGGTAAAAGTTTTATAGATTATAATTCAGAATTTATTTGGAATGAACCTGAATTTCGAAATGTGAAAGGAAGAATCAAATAAGTTTAATAAAAAAAGAGAGATTAATAAATATATACCAAACTCAAATAACACTGAGGATCTAAAATTTTGAGAGCTAATTTTTTAAAAACTACTCTTTCAATTTTTTATAAAAGTTGGTTGTTTGGTGTAATTTTAGTCATAGAATTGAAGTATGGAAAAAAATTGGTATGCTTTTTCAGAAAAAGTCATATTTTGTGTCAAAATACCTATATTAGAACAATGCTATATATAAATCTAATACATATCCTAAGTCGCACTTTCGAGACATGAAAAACGCTAGTTTAATTTCGTCAATTGGCCCAGTAGAACAGGAGATATAAAATTGTCCCCCCTTTTTTTGCGCAGTGTACACTGAGGGTTTCTTTTGTAAATATTCTGAGTTTTGCATGTACTGCAGGGTGTTGTCTTAGGTAAGGGTTTCGAGGCTGTTCAAAATCAAGAGTGCACAAGTCTTGATCTTCTACCTTTTATGTTTTTCTTGAGGTGAAATAACGAGGCTAAGTGTGCATCTTCTGCTTTCAGATGGAAGGGAGGGATTCTTGTTAATACACAGAGTGCTAGAGTTGAGGTATTTATGTATGGTTTTGCTATTTGTAAAAGGAAGGGGTGTTGAAGCTAGGAATCTCTTCATCTTCACTGTCATGGAGGTGAGTCCATGCTGATGCCCTCTAAAGGATTATTTTTTTTTCAATCGCAGTTTTATGAAGGATGTTTTGCATCCTCGACGTGAGGCCCCACATTGTGCCTTGCATCCTTGCGAGGGCTCCACAAATAGTCTGTGTCTTCTTCCGAATGTCCACGAGGTGTGGGATCCAAGAAAACTTTTGGTCAATTTTCAATACAAGAAATTTTATTTCTTTTAAGATCTTGATTGTTCTGTTATTGATTTCAAATCAAGGGAGTCAGTAGAGATTTTCCCAGTTTTGAAAATAAGAGAATATGTGATTTGGGCTCTGAAATTATTAGTTTTTGATTGATACAGAGAATGGAATATGGAGAGAGTCATTACTATTTGTATGGTCCAGCCACATGTAGGAGGTAAGGTGATGTTCCACAGATCTGCACTTAGACAAGAGCCCTGTGGACACTCTCTTGTTATTCTTTCTACTATGCAGTTGTTGCTGATGATTATCGTTGCTGTATTTGTTAGGAAACTATTCATTAGCTTGAATATGTTCTGAGGACATTTAATGTTGTGCAAGGCTTCAAGGATAGCAGGTCATATTACTCTGTATGGAGAGTTGAAGATTTATTCATGTGGATCTGCTATTGCATGTGATGTAGCTTTGATAGGCCTGAAGCCGTATTGGTTAGGGCTGATGGTATCGTTTTTCTCTTAAGTGGTGGTGTGCCGTATTGGTTAGGGCTGATGGTATCGTTTTTCTCTAAGTGGTGGTGTATTCTGCTCGTGATTGCACATTCCAGTATTTTACCTGTTGCAGGTAAGAGGTTGATTGGTCTGAAGACTTCCGGATCCATTAGATTTTTATTATTTTTTCTTGTAAAGTATTGTTTGTTCCTGTTTGAGGCAATTTGGGAAGACATAAAATTTGAGGCAGAAGTTTAGTTGTTTGTGGACTTTTCTTTGTAACTTTTCTAAGTACTTAATATGTTAGTATACATATACATTGGTTGAAAAAAGTATTTGAACATAACTTGGTTAAGGTATTTTGTGGTTTTTTTGAATGTGTAACATTAATGTGAGCCATTTAGAAATCTCTCACGAAAGCAGTAAAGGAAGATGTTTCTCTCCGCCATAGATAGGCCTTATCTGCTTTACAGTTATCAAATAAACCAAAGCCAACTAAAAATAAATGTTGATAGGGAAACATACAGCATTTCAATTAATGTATGAAGTGAAAAAAGTCCAACAAGATATTTAATAGGACATTAGAAACAGATATATGCAAATTTTAGAGAGTTAAAAAAGCAACTAAACAGTCTGTGATAAACACATTCTAAAATTTATTTGTTGAAGTAAATGAGTGAAAGATGCAAGAGAGAACATATAATTTAAGAAAATTTTAACTGTAAGAAATAATGTACCTAGAGTTGTGTAGAAGCGCAATGAAAAAGCCCTTCATCAGTGAAGCAAATAAGGAAAAAGAGCAACAATTTTCAAAGATACATGTGGGGAAAACCTTCGGAATTTTTTAAAGTGATGTTTAGTGATGACAGTAAGTTGATCTTATTTGGATATGACAGCAAAAAAAAACTTTGTATGGAAGAAGAGCTTTAATTCCTGAAAATGTGGTTTTGATGATAATAGAGGAGAAAGTTCTGTAGTATGACCATCTGTGTCTTTCAATAGGTATGGTAAATTGGTTTGTAACTTATTTGGTAGTGCATCAAAATTAGGTCTAGAAAATGATTTCTGGGTCTAAAATGATTAGGATCCCATTGGTTGTTAGAATTCACCATAGATTTCATCTCCCGATCTAAACCAAATCTAGAGTTTGTGACACTCTTTGCACGAAAGTGCGAGACGTCCTAAGTTTTCAGGTTAAAATGAATTTAAAAGAATTCTTTTCAGCAAATGGGGAAAATCTTTCGTTTGATTTAACAAAGAGCTTGTAGAGTCAGTGCCAAGATTACAACCTGTATTTGACAAGGGCCTTTTCACCAAGTATTAACATTTTAATTTTTCTGTATAAGTTCTGCATAAGGTAAATTTTTTGTAACCTTCAAATACTTTTTCCCCCTTCTAAATTTTGGAATTCATTAAATTTTAGATTGTTATTTTGATAACATATCTTTGAGTGGATGAACATTTGAGAGTAATGAATTTGCAAAAATAAATTTCAACTTTATTAACAGTATCATTTTTATGCTAAATGAACAATTTTGTTTCCCCACTGTATATATAGTTATTGTTTGTATGATGTTTGAGTAAATTGTAACTTAAAAATTTTTTCTCATGTTTATAGGAGGAAGAAATAGCATGAATAAATTGAATAAATGATAATGTTGTTGTCATGGGGTGGAAGCCGTATCCCTTCCTATCCCAGAATGTTTAAATTACTCATTTGTTTAATGGTAAGTTCTAAATTATGAAATACTGAAACTTTAAATTATATAATTTATTTTATTTTCATTTTGAGGTGATAAATATCAAATTATAAAGAATACTTACTTATACATATATAAAATGGATACTTTTCTGTTAACAGGGATGACAAAACCAAGTGTATGCTAGAATGTGGTAACCTTTTTTTATTTCATGTCATGACCAGCTGTGCAGTGATAAAATTTAATGTGTGCAATTTGATTTTAAGCAAGAAGGGCTTGCTGTGTATGTAAGAAAACAAATTGTTGTTCTCCCCATGTACATTGTTTTTCCTTAAACAAATTGGAGAATTTGCAAATTCTGCAGTGTGTGCATTTTAACAGTATATGTATTACATTCTTTATGAATAAAATGATTCAAGGAGCTTTATGTATCGTTACAGTTGCTGCCATCAAGTTACATTTCATAACAACATATATGTTGGGTAGAAAGTGGCACTCTGTTAAAAGAAAAATATCATAGAATGAAATGTTTTACTTATGTGATGAACAGATTTTTTAAAAAATATGTATTTATGTATTTAATTACAAGTAAAATATTTTACAAGCCTGGTATGAAGATTATCCTATGTGAAATTAAGCTAATGAATTTAATTTTATTTAATTAAAATGCTAAATTCCTTCATTATTATAATTAAAATATTTTAACAAGGAATTTTCATATATTGGGAAGACATTAATTTCATGACATAAAAAATGAACCTATGTTTTTGTATTCTTTAACTGCTGTCTGTCTAGTATAAGCTTTTAAATCTACAGTTTATTCTAATATCATTGTTATGTTCAAAAATTATTCCATAGCCTAGACGTACAAAGTTATGGAAGGTAAATATCAGTATAAATTATTTTATCATTTTTAATATATTTTGCATTCACATATTAATTGATATTGGGAATATTGGTTAATGCTGAATAGTGGTTAGATTGATCTGGGTAATGGAGACTAGATGACAGTTTGGGATTTTTATCCTTCTGTTTCAGTAAGACAGACTTCTCAGTCTGTTTTACTGAATAATTATTCTTCCCGTTGAAAGTTTTATCTGCCTTTTGGAATATTTGATAAAACAGGTGCAAACTTCTCGCAGCAAATTTAGATGAATTTTCTAGCTAGGGTAATTGTTATCCAGTTTCCTTGAAACCATTTTCTTTTCTCTCATTCTCTTTCTGCGCGTTCAGTGTTGTAGGTCCATAACACATTCCTTGGTCAATTCAGTATTCTTTAATGTTCATTATTTCATTTCATATCCAGTGAAAATATGAATTCTCTTGACTTTTTATTCAGTGATTTTGAAAAAGGAGCATAGGTTGTTCTAGGCATTTCCCAGAGATCTGTGAAAAAAAATTAATTTAACGTGTCAAAGGATGAATATTAATGGAACATGTTGAAGCTAATTGTACTATGCTATATAAGCCAGTATTTATTAACAAATAAATGTCATTTTGAACCAACTGAAATTTTGTATTACTAAGTGCTTTTAGTATTTGTAGGATTTATTTTATTGGCAGTTGTTTATGAAGTGTCGAGTTGGCTTGTTTATTAGCTTATATGGAAAATAAGGAATCAAAAAATATTAAAAGAAAATTTAAATTATAGTATATAGCTAAAACTGTATACCATAAAATATCGTTGTAATAAACTGGGCCTAATTCTCGTCCTACTTTTCCCCCCTTTTTTATGGTTTCCTTCATAGATGCAATAAAATTTGTTTCTTGGACGTTGTTCGCTAGTCTAGAATAGGTTACTATATTTGTGATTGATTTAATTTAAACTAAACTGTATTTATTTAAGAGCAAAATATATACAATGTTTATGTAACATTTACTATTTCTGATCAATCTGGGTAATAATTTGTGATAATTTTGTGTCTTGATTTTTACTAGAAATTATGAAATGAGAACAGGACTTGAAAAAAATTTTCTGATCAATCTGGGTAATAATTTGTGCATTTTATGTGTTGGTTTTTACTAGAAATTAGGAACTGAGAACAGGACGTTACAAAATATAACAAATTTGAATTAGCTATGTAGGCCTGAAGGTTGGAATGCAATTTTTGATAATCTTATTTTCATTAAAAAAATAACAGTAATGAATAATTTATGAAGTAGTAATGAATTATAATATTCATTACTATTAAGATTATTAGATGAGATTCATTACTATCATTTTGAGATGAACTTATAGTAATAATAAAGCTTTAAATCTTTTTTTTTTTTTTTCATAATTTTTTTGTTGTAATGTAAAAAAAGAAAATCAGAGAAGTATTAGTTTTGTTTGATTATTGAACTTTAACAAAATATTACTTTGGACTATTGGGCAAAGAATGTGTATTTGTAGAGAAAATTTTCTTTATAAAATTGGATTTTGTTCACTTTAGAAAGAAAAAATTCTCTGACTACACCCATATGTGCAGTACATTTTATACCTGCAGTGTAGATACAGAAGTCTAATTTCTTAAATCTTTGTATTTTCGTGGTAAATGTAGAAAGAGGGAGAGAGCACTTTTAGGCTTCATTTTAATATATGCTGAAGAGAATATTAATCTGATTTAAAAATTTAGAAAATATAAATTCACCGAAAATATTTTTCAGAACAGTTTTAAATGTTTATAAATAATTCTGCACCAGTTTCCTTTCATAGGCGGATTTCATCCAAAACCATCATTATATCCAAAGTATGATTTTCCCTTGATTTTAAATTAGCTGGATGTAAATGTGTTCTGTATAATAAATTTTCTAATTTATTTTAAAAAAGCTTAGTCTTTCATACTTTTTTTACCCAAAAATATTTTCTTAGTGAAATTAAGGAAATTGTTTATGATAAATTTTTCATAAATTATCCTCTTATGTATTTTTTTGTTTAAAGTGTGAAATCTCTCTGATAGAATAAAGAGTCGGAATCATGAACGAAGCAAAATAAATTCATAAGAACTAACTTACAGTTATATGTTTGAAAATTTATGGTTATTAATTTTGCAAAAAAAAGTAATTCATTGAACTTTTATAATTAGGTCATTCAATACTTCATAATTGTAGTTTTTCATTTCTCTCCCCCCCCTTCTCGAAACTTCAAAATGTCGGTAGTAAGTCCGTAAAAGTTTCAAGGGATTTTTTGGGGTCCCACAAACACCCCTGATTACAACACCATCCCTTAAGCAGATAATGTTTGTGTGCTTTACCTCAATCCATTTGTAATAATAAGATTTTATAATGAAATGTACCTCATTACAGAGAAAATAACATTTGTTTTTTTATTATTTGGGAATTTTGTACAAAGTAGCTAATGTTACGATTTAATTTAGGAGTTGCATGAACCTGAATAGTTTCTGGGGGATATTGTCTTGTCAAGAGCTTTTGGAGAAAAAGCGGTTTATAATCATGTTACACATGAGGGAAAAGCCTATGGTTGTATAAACATAAAAAATTCGGTGTTATATATTCAGTGTTATGTTGATCATGATCATCTGAGTGTGTATTCCCCCCCCCAAAGTTTGGTTCTTATAAAAAGACCTTTTATAAAGACCTTATTAAATTCTGATATGAGATTAGTAATTTTTATCAGTACTTTTCCATTTTACATAACAGGCAATAAAGGAGCCAAAAATGGTACAACCGATGCCAAGCGGAATATGCTCGCTGGTAACTTTTGCGCCTTATGCAAAACAAGTTGCAGCCATTTCTTATCAGATTGATTGTTTCTTTCAATACTGGCATACAATTATATAGAATCTGTACCAGTTAGTTCAGTTTTATGCCCTAAGGCTGTTCGTGGTAATTAAGTCGATTAGTATGCAATAACACCATTCACCCGAAGGCGAAAATATAGAAAGGGCAAAGTCACTGGGTTAAATTCATCAATTCTAATGAAAATGCGCTAGCAATGTAAAGCACTGCAGTTTTACATAATTTAAATTAATTAATAATTGAGTAAGCTATTCGTGCAAATTCAAATAATTCTTGCATTTAAACTTGTATTCCATATTAAGATTTAACTTAAAATTAGTGTAGATAATTACTGAGAGAATTAGATTTTTGTGGCATGGTCTACGTGAGATGAGGTCACTGCGGGTCACGTGATATGAACCCGGCGAATCAGGATATTGTACCATGAAAGCATAGTAATTTCTTAAATTTAAATTCTTTTTACAAAATTTTAAACAGTTTTAAAATGTTTATGCCTTCAAAATAAAAAATTCTTAGAACTAGCATTTTTTATGTGTATGCTGTCGCCAATAAAGTCTGCTTGGCAAGATTTGCAGCAACGAAACGGAAAAGTACCTTTTTATCTTGTTTTTGCTATTATATGAAGGTTGCTTTTATCTAATTATTATTTTTTCGAATTAATTGTTTTTCTGAAATGATGTGCAAAGTGCTGCATCACATGCTTTACATGCTACAGTTGACCATTGCTGTAAAATGTTTTGCAGAACAAACATCACGTCTTTGTATCAAAAGGAAAATGGGAGCATAAATGCTTGCATGGTGGGTTTTTTTGATGGAGACAGTGTTATGAGCTTGAAGATCAGAATGATGAACCAGCTCTCTAATCAAATTCATCTGAAAAAAAAAAAATTTCGATATTGCTTATTTTGTTTAGAATGTATGCATTTAGCACTGTTAAGTTAAAATAGTTTTTTACTTCACTTCAAGGTTCTTCTGCCAAAAATATAACTATTGGCTATGTGTTCACTTAAATCAACATAGCCCATATTTTTGTTGTAACATGTTATAATCTTGGGTTTTGACTGTTCATTGGCTATAACCATTCGATTATGCATGCTTGACAGCATAAAAACGTGTTGCTCACACTTTCCAGTGTAAAGCTGTCATCCCATTTGTGAAACGCACGGTGGTTTCTCCTCTATTCAGTTTTCCTTTGTTTACATCTTTTGGGAACTGCTTCTTATTCGAATTAATAGGGCACATTATTTTATCTTCATTTATTTTATTAATAATAAATTTATTTCAACATTAATTTATTTTATTTTCATTTAATTAGACAACAAAAAGTTCTGGCATGAGAAAAAATAATTTATGGCCTTTGCATCTAATAATGCCACTCATTTCTTTTAACAGTACAAGATGCTGAGAAGTTGGGATCCTTAGATTTATCTTTTCCCTAGGTAAACTTACATATTGTAGGTGTAACCTTCCTTATCAGCGATCTTGTGTAATTTTATATTCCACTGCTTGTGTTTTTTTGGGATATACTGTCTAAATATTACTCACTCTTTAAATGTGACAATAATTTATTATATCGCAAGGTCATCTGCAGGGCTGTAAATTTGTTTATAAGCTGTTTTTAAGATAAACAACTTTTTGAACTTTCCACAATCTGTGGTAATTTATAATTTTATCAGGTTTTTTCTTATTGTTTTCAAAATTTCAAAACTTTAAAAATCATTAAAATCATGTCACTTGGCTACCTTACAAAAAATTGGTGTGTCAGTTAAATCGTCCGTGGAACAATAATTCCGAATGCTATCTTTTTCAGTATGTCCCGTGAGTAAGACTAATCCAAAAAATTTCTGGAGCTTGTCATATGTAACTGGCATCCTGGCATCCAGTCGCTTTCATCCTTTCTTTTTTCGCTTATATCTGGCAACAACTCTAGGATTTGAGAATCATATCAATTAGTTTCTGTGGTTAAAATTTTAAACAATTCATCTGAAAAATATGATTAAAAAAAATCAACAGCAAGATGAGTTTCCGAAAATTCAGTCTTTATACCAAGATCACCAGTAAAAGTCAATATATTAGTTTTTTCATGCTCATTTGGCTGTTTCCATTCATATATAAATTATTGTCATTGCTGTTGAAGCCATAGGCAACATTATCTTCATTAAAAGATTGACATATACTTTCTTCTGTTTCTGAACAGTCCGAATCTGTATCAGCAAGAGTTTCTTCTTCTAAGTTGTTTAATTAAATCAGTGTTAAAATTTACCAATTATAAAATGAAATCTGATATATATATATAATTTCCTTTCTTAGAATGGCTGAGAAAGATGGAGAAAACCCTAATCAAAAGTATTTAATGGATCATTCAGAAAATGTGGACTTAACAGAAAAATCAGAAGAATTTAAAAAACTTGTTGAATATGGTTTGAACCCTAAGGTTGTAACAAAATTAGAAGAAATTTTCAGAACAGGTAAAAATGTTTCATAAAAATTATTATTAAATCCTCATCATGATTAATAAATATGAAAATATTCATTCTTTTGCAAACAGTTTTTCATTGTTTTATTTTTTATATATATTTCCTTTAACTGTTTTATATAAATGTTTTCTAAATATAGTAATAGAAAAGGTATCACAAATAACTTAAAAAGCTTAATTTTTATGTATGAGATTTTAAAATTTATGTTGCATAACAGGTTAAAATCAATTTAGTTTTAATTTTTGCATAAGTATTTTTTCATTAGTTAATGTAGTTAAAATTTTTTCTCATTACTGTTTTTTAAAACTAAATAAGGTACCTGATGATGCTTAACAATGATAAATCTTTCTCATTATCACTAGAAAGTTGTGAACTCATTGCCGACTTGGAAGAACATCATTGCTGACTTTGTGCTTAGCTGATGAGCGAAAGGCAAAAAAATATTTTTAAAATGGCAATGCCCTAATAATTCCATACAAGAGCAATCAGTCAGTAAAATTTTAAAAACAAGAAACATCCGTGATGAAACACTTACCCTTTTAGAGAAATTTTTTTTTACTCCCTTGTTCTTCCCATATACACATCCACTTTCACTCTAAAAAAAACAGAGAATAGCACATACTCAGTATTCATGTAACTGGTTATTGTGCTTTGGTCACAACAGACATTCTGTGTGCATGTTTGGGTTGCCTTATAACAGGGTTGCCACGCTACCTGGAAAACCGGAAAAAGTCAGGGAATTCGAAAATTGACCAAAAAATTCAGGGAATTTAAATATTTTAGTGAAAATCTGGAAAAGTCGGGGAATTTCATACGGCGATCCCCCCCAAAAAAGGCGAGTTTTGTACTAACGTGAAAACAATCACATTATTGGCGAATTGTGTATCGTGTGAGCGTCATTCGGGCAGCAGGCATAGAGCCAATTTTCGCAGCTCCAATTAGATTGGAAACTTGCTTTGCCTTTCTAAAAGACTTCGAGAATCGCACGTGCAGTGCATGTTGAACTAAACAAAATACTTATTAATACTAATATACGGTACTATAGGAGTTAAAATCAAAGAATATGTTTTGTTAAGAAGGAAGATTTCTCTGCAACAGGAGTGGCTGGGTTCCAACGTAGAGGGAAACATCTGCGCATGTGCGAAATATCTGTTGCCAAAGTTCGAAGGTCACGTTATCAAGAGTTCATAAAATGAATATCGTTTAAAATTTCTTTTAACTTTAAAACAAAAGGAAATATTTTTTCGCGCAAGTAAAAAAACTATGAAAAGAAACTGAAAATCCATGTTTAAATAATTGCAAAATATCAAAGAAGTAACGTTTAGTCAAAGAATGTTTCTTCTTAACACGTGTTCCTCAATTTCCTGTACGCATCGCAAAGGGGCAAATCCATTAGCGAAATTTTTCTCCGCTTTCTAGTGGCGTATAATAGCATTACGTCTATGGAACCTTGCCTTCTTTACATAGACGTTCTTTGGTTAGGTTTTTTTGTTTCCATGTACAGTACCCACAGGATTTAGCGACATTAATGATGAGCAGTAAACGTGTTATTTTGGTGTTGGTGACAGTTTTTAAAATCGTGCCAAGGCATTACCGTATATTAAGATTTTACCCCAAAATGTTTTAAACCCTTTTTTTTTTCTTTTTAATAATTGCCTTATTTGTCATTTTGCAATAAAATAAAAAATACTAATCTAGGCTAACCATTAAATATAACTATATTCGCTAAAATATCGTTGATTATTTCAATTCAATTTTTAATTATCTTTATGTTATTCGTATCATTTAATGTTGTTTCTTCCCTCTAAATTTGTTTATTATTAGTAAATAATACTTTCAAATTTCAGGAACTTTTATCTGTCATAATCTTGAAATTAATTCTAGCAGTAGTAGCATACCATCACGAAATTTAATGCACATATTTTTTGCTTATGTATGCTGCTAAATAAATGTAAAATATTTGAATTTATTTAAAAATATCATTAAATATATTTCTTTCATTTAGCTGCAAAATGTCTGCAAAAAAATTATTTTTTAAAATCCAGATTGGGCAGATTCTAATCTCAATCTTCAGTGGAGAAAACAATTCCTTTTATACTTAAAATAGTAATCCTTTGGAGATTAATTATATATACAAGTCATATGTAATTGGCAAATTTTTGTGTTTTCAAGTAATACCATAATTAATTTACCTCTTAGCACAGCCAGAATGCATTATGCGGATAAACTGGAATTTTTTTAAAATATACCTGGAAAAGTCAGAGAATTTCATTCTCCTGTTTGAGTGGCAACCCTGTTATAATTATTTTGGGAACATGCTTGTGTCGAATAAAAATAGAGTGACAGTGTGCGACAATGCGCTTTTACTCTGCATCAGATAAAAGAATGTTTGGAACAACAAATGGATGAGAAGAATTGAGATGGTAGAATGGGATATTTCACTTAGCTGCCAATAAAGAAAAAAGAAACTGAGGATTAATATGGACAAGGAAGTCTCAAGAGCATAAGATGAGTATTATTATTATTATTTAAATCTGAATATGTTTCAATAGTTGTCAAGTTGAATTCATTGTTTTAAAAATAATATTAATATGTTGGCATTGTTTCAAATGCAGGCTCGAGAGCCATGTATTGCTCTCGCGCGTAAATTGTAGAAATTGGAATTTGTTTGGGAAAAAAAAGTGAGATAAAGAATTTTCTCTTGTTGATTGTTTGTAGCCATTTTTTTTTTGGAGAGGGCATTCAATCAAATTTTCATGCAGTGTTTCATCATTAGAGTTTTCATTGGAGTTCAATGCTACACCATTGAAGCATTAACACTACACCACACTACTTTGTTACATGAATACTTTTTCACAACATTTAGGCTGGGCTGCGAACAGCGAGAAAGTACCCAAAAAAATAAATGCTCTGTAGGATACATGTAAGCATTTATTAGCATAGAAATAATGGAATAGAAAATTTTGAAAGCGATACTAAAATTATTTAACTATACATTATGTTTCATTGCAGGTAAATTATGTTACAGTGATCTAGATGAGAGAGCCCTTGATGCTATAAAAGAATTTCCTGTGGATGGTGCTTTTACAGTCCTAAAACAATTTTTGGATAGCAGTTTAGAACACGTTTCTAACAAAAGTGCGTTTCTTTGTGGTGTTATGAAAACTTATCGTCAAAAAATGAAAGTTCCTTCAAATACAAGTTCTGGGACTACTAAGGGACCCGATGAGGAGAAAATTAAGGTAAGTTTATATTTAAAAAAATTGTTTAACTTTTATTTTAAAAAATTGTTTAACTTTTATTGTTTTTTGACAATGAGTAAAATTAAAAATTTCACATGTATAAAAAATTTTTGCAGACTGCAGTGGAGAGGATAATTATATATTATTTCCTCTAACAGTGGATTTTAATTTACTAAGTTTTCACACATACACACACAAAACACTGCTAATGTTATTGTTTCAAATAGCAGCACACTTGAAATTTAATGCATTCATCGGCAGTAGCTAATACCCATAGGTCGTTTAAGCACCGAGCGTGGTGCCCAAGTTGCACCAAGGAGGGCAACTGATTTTACACTAAGAAGCTGTATCCCAATTTTGATGAAGAGTCTCCCATACCACTTCTATCAACAAACTACTCGAGTTTCAGCTGTCTGTGTATTTTGATTGCCTCATGCTGCACAGATATAAAACATTTACTGGCATCCATGCCTTCGCTGGGATTCAAACTCAAGTCCAATGATACAGCAGCCAGGAGCATTGGCCCCCGTAACCAATCAATGCAGCTCCCTACCAATGCAGAAAGAATCAAACAGTGCAGTAAACTTTTTAACAGCTGGGATTTCCCCAGCAGCTATAACCTAAATTTAATCTAGTAGTGTCAGCAGCAATAAAAGGAGATAGCTTTTTGTTTTGAAGTTGCAGCTAAACTGGCCATAACTAATACTCTCACTTCATAATTTGACCCTGTCAGTCTTTTATATATATATATATATATACAGGGTGTTTCATAGATCATGGGGACAAACTTGGAGGGGTGGTGGAGCGTATTAAAACATGCATTTTTTTATAGGAATGTAGGGTTTAAAGTGGACGAGTTAAGGTAGGAACACAAAAAAGCGACACAAGGGGAAAATGTGTTTATGTACAAAATCAACGTAAAGTGCTTCTTTGTAGCAATACAGTATTCACCATAAATGTTAAAAATTGATCATGAACGACAGCCGGAACATTCTGCAGCAATTCTGATCGCACCTCTTGCAGAAAAATATAACATAAGCCATTTGTACGTGCAGGTAAGAGGTATGGGCCTATGAGGTAGTCGTTAACAATACCTGCCCACACATTCACAGAGAAGCGGGTTTGGAATGCATGTGGACGTGTGCAGTGTGGATTATGAGTTGCCCAAACGTGTATGTGTGGCTATCGAAGGTGCCATCCTGTGAGGAAGTTGCCTCGTCTGTTAATAGCGCATTCGATGGGAAATCCGCCTGTGCTGCACACTGCTGCAAGAACCAATGACAGAAATGAACTCGAAGAGGGTAATCTGTCTCTTGCATGGCTTGGACTTTTGCAAATGGTATGGATGCAAATCATTTTCATGCAATACTTTCCAAATGGTGGAATGACTCGGCTGCAGACGATGTGCAATAACTCTTGTACTTGTCTGAGGTAATTCATGCGCAACGTTCGAGATGATTCTTCAATGCGAGGTTGTCATGCACTTCTTCCACTCCTAGTGTCAGAGGTGGCTTCAAATGACCCATTTTCCCACAGACCGATGCAACCTCTCAAACATTGTGTGCTTCGGCATACGCCTGTTCAGAAATCATTCTTGGTAACTGTAGGGCTGCTCTGCCATTCCCATTAACAGCATCATACATGAGATGCGTGTCATCTTTTTCCCTGTGCGTAAACTCACCTATCACGCTCGACATCAGAGTTGCGAATGACCCTCTGATGCATCGAATCGTGGTTTGTCCTGCTCTCTACTGCTGCATTGCCAGCCAATCACAGCTGTAGTTCCTATTATTGTTCCCTTTTTTTTTTGGAACATTTATTGTGAATACTGTATTGCTGCAAAGAAGCACGTTGCATTTATTTTGTATGTAAACACATTTTTCTATTGTCTTTTTTTTTTTTTTTTTTTTTTTTTTGCATTCCTGCCTTAACCCGTCACTTTAGTAGACCCTACATTCCTATACAAAAAATGCATGTTTTAGTACACTCGACCATCCGTCCAAGTTTGTCCCATGATCTATAAAACATCCTGTACAGTACAAAGCCTGAGATCTCATTGAAACTTCGTTGATTCCGGATTTGGGATTTTTCTGGATATTAGATCATCAGTTAGTAAGATGACACGTAGAAAATAAAAATATGAAATTGTTATTTCTGAAATAATGAAACTTTTATGATCTAACGGCTATTAAGAAATTACATATGATTATTACAAAAAAAAAAGCTTAATATTTATTTGTTTACTTTATTAAACATTTCTTTCAATATAAGTTGCTTCGTTTTTACGCTAATACTTTCTGTTCAATTCTATAGGCAGTCATAATTTCTTGTTCAGTTACAAAGTTCCATTGTTAAAGTCCTGTAGTTCCTGTGTCTAGAATTCCAACCAACTTGTCAGTCTAAATTTTTTTGTTTTCAATAACGTCTCTGTCACTTTCTTCACTATTGGTAGCGGTATTTTCTGTATTCAGAACTATACAATAGATTTCGCTGCACATTAATTCATTGATAGCTGGAGGGTTGTCATCACAATGGAAAACTTGTTATATCATCTGCATTTATTACGGATTCTTCACATTTTTTCACAAAATCCATTGATTAGAAACTTTCACCCGTTGTTTATGATATCTAAAAGCCTTCATATCCGTGGATGGTAGCTGGCCGTAAATTATGCCAAGCATTTTTTAAAGTATCTATCTGGAGGCACATCCTCCCACGATTTTGCGATGCTCCCACACAGCAGACTTTATGCTAAAATATTTCATAAATTCTTGAATAGTCTTGCCATTATTCAAGAAATTTAACATGGATTTTAAAAATGCTACTTTGTATTTGCATTTCAGCATGCGCATTATTCTGTTATCCGTAGACTGAATGATGGACGTACAGTTTGGAGGAAAGAATAACTCGGATGCACTAACTTCCGTTAAAATTTTAAGTGAATTATGAGCCATACAGGTATCTACAATCAGGATAATTTTTGCACCATCAGGTAAACTAACCGAAATCAAATGTTACTGGGCCTCCAGTATGAAATGATTCATCAACGCTTGTGTCATCCATGCTCTATTATTTGCTCGAAGTGCAACGGGGGAAATCGTTACTCCTTTAAATGCTCAAGGTTGTGTTATTCTTTTTGATTATAAAAAGTGTACACTTTTGCATTCCTTTAGTATTTGCATATGCTAGAATTGTTAGTCTAGCTGTGGAATCTTTGACACCAGTTGGAGCCTTCTCTGTAGAGTTTGGCAAGACATTTTGTGGTACATATTGCCAGAAAAGACCAGTGTCATCAGCGGTGTAAATTTGTCCTGGAGATAACATTTCACAATTCATATGCAAATAGCAGATTCAGTATTAGCTGATGCTTTTTCACCTGAAATTGTTAATTGCATTATACCACTGCGGTTTTAAAATTTGGTTAACCACAACAATTCGGAATCCACAACAAATTCAGAAGAGTTCCTTTTTCTTGTTAGGTCATATACAGTCGACATTCCAATGCCATATTTCTCGCATAATTTTGAGACAGATACCTATATCCATTTTTTGCAGCAATTGCACTTTGTGTTTAATGGACATCGAAACATGCTTTCGCTTTGTAACTTCTGTTGCAGCTCCAGAATTAGAAACTCTTTTCAACATATCGAAAGTTCAAACTTTAGTTTCCAAAAAATTGCTGTAATTACAACAGCCTGAAAAAAGGAATAAGCTGGATCAAATCAGAAAGAAAGTGCAATCTGCTATATTAACTGAAATTCTTTGGAATTGGTAAAGTATAAGTTTAGCCAACTTTAACAGTATCCACTGTACAAAAATTTTGTAGTCCCTAAATTCTGCCGCCCTGTGCGGCCGTATAAGCTGTGACGCCGGTTCTGGGTTTTTGTGAATAACAAATTAGTTATTCTTAATTTGAATAGCACTGAATGTAAGCTTTTGGTATCATTAACAAAATCTATTTTACTATACATAGCATATATATATATATATATATATATGAAGTTGTGTTATGTGTTGCTGAATAACTGAAGTAATATTTCACAGTGGCTTTGTGTTATGAATGCTGTTCTAATATGTGTTCAGAGCATCAAATGTGATATTAACTGTTTATATCATATTGTGAGCAGCTGTGTAATATACCTTCATCGTACTAACTAAACTTTCAGCTATTAATGTTCAACTTGTGCAATGCCAAATTTCTGGAAATCTGATTTTTTTAAAAGTGAAAATAGATTGCTGTGCATATAGGTTTAATAAGTACACGATGAAACAAGGCTGGCACCTGTGCAAATAAGTGTATTAGCCGAGTAAGTGTGTAAGTATATCTCTGAGCCTTGCTAACTGTTAAGTTTCTGCATCAGATGGAATTTCAAGAGAGAACACCTCAGGGTGTAGCCCAAAGGTCTCCCATCCCCACTATCTCATGTGGATGGCACTTGCAGAAAAACAACAGTTTTGTTCTTCCCATAATCCCTTCTCCTCTGTATTTACTTAAGAAAAAAATCAGAATTGTGTAAATTTGGCGTTGTGTGCATTAAAGATTGTACATATTGTATTCATTATGTATAAATAGTTATTGTTTCCATGAAGGTTTATGTGTGTTTGGGTTTGCAACTATTTAGTTAGATTTAGCACGGACATTTATGCTTGTTGCAAAGTGATGTCTCGTTAACAAAAAAAGCAGATTTCTGTAAATGGTTAACGTGTACTAAAGAAGGATAAAGCTTCAAACTTGACTGATTGGTAGTTCTTGTGTTAAATTAAAACAGAAAGCACATAGTGATAAATTTAACAAAATTAACTTTAGAGTAGGTGAGACCATTTTCAGGAATGCCAAAAAGTTCCTATGTTGTATATTTCTATAAGTGTTTTAGCATAATGTAAATGCAGTATGAAGTGGGTTTGCATTATGCTATAACTATTGGGTTGGCAACTAAGTAATTGCGGATTTCACTCATAGATGGCTTCAGTTGAATTTTTAGGGTTGCAGACGTAGTACAAATGTGAAACATATTTTGTTATTTAATAGTTGGCAATTCAGCTGTCAATCAGTAAAAAAAGGTTTTTTTTGATCGGTTGTGTAATTTTCGTTTGGCGTTCGTTGAAAAATGGAAAATTAAAAGGAACATTTTCGTCATATTTTGCTTTTTTATTTCCACAAAGGGAAAAACGCATTGCAAGCTCATAAAAAGTTATTTGCTGTTTATGGTGACGAAGCCTAAAAAAAACGGCAGTGTCAAAATTGGTTCGCGAAATTTTGTTCTGGTGATTTTTCACTAAAAGATGAAAAACGCTCTGGTCGTCCAGTTGAGGTTGATGACGACCTAATCAAAGCAATAATCGATTCGGATCGTCACAGTACAACACGTGAGATTACAGGAAAGCTTCATGTATCACATACATGCATTGAAAATCGCTTAAAACAACTTGGCTATGTTCAAAAACTCGATACATGGGTTCCTCACGAACTGAAAGAAACGCATTTAACGCAACGCATTAACAGCTGTGATTTGCTAAAGAAACGTAATGAAAATGATCCATTTTTAAAACAACTGATAACTGGCGATGAAAAATGGGTTGTTTACACAACAATATCAAGCGGGAAAAGGTCGTGGAGCAGGCCAGGTGAACAAATTCAAACAACATCAAAAGCTGATATTCATCAAAAGAAGGTTTTGTTATCAGTTTGGTGGGATTGCAAAGGAATTGCCTACTTTGAACTCTTACCACCCAACCGAACGATCAATTCTGATGTCTACATTGAGCAACTAACAAAATTAAACAAATGCATTTGAAGAAAAGCGGCCCGAATTGACAAATTGAAAAGGTGTTGTATTCCATCATGACAATGCAAGGCCACACACATCTTTGGTCATTCGGCAAAAATTATTGGAGCTTGGTTGGGATGTTTTGCCACATCTACCATATAGTCCTGACCTTGCATCATCTGATTACTTTTTGTTTCGATCTTTACAATACTCCTTGAATGGTAAAAATTTCAATAACAATGATGTCAAATCGTACCTGATTCAGTTTTATGAACCATAAAAACCAGAAGTTTTATGAATGTGGGATTATGATGCTGCCTGAAAGATGGCAAAAGGTCATTGATCAAAATGGGCAATACATTACAGAATAAAGTTATTTAGTTCCATGAAAAAATTGTCTTTGATTTTCTTAAAAAAATCCGCAATTACTTAGTTGCCAACCCAAAGAGAAAAGCAGTTAAAGTATGCATAAATGTATTAAATTTGAGCAGTTTTGTAGAAATATATTTTTAAGTTTTAAACATGTGTCACTGGGGGAAACAAACATAATATTTTTTGTAAACTAATAATCCTCTCCATGTTTTAATTGCATCTTATTTGGTATAAAAATGTGAAGGAATACTCTATAAATTATGAGTATTATGGTAACTGATAATAAGTTTATGATGCATTATTTATATAAATTGTTTATAGGCTATTTTAGATAGAACTGGATATACACTTGATGTCACAACTGGCCAAAGAAAATATGGTGGCCCACCTCCTGGTTGGACCGGTCCACCACCTGGCAGTGGTTGTGAAGTAAGTTGTAAATTTAATCATTTTATATCTGTTGGTATGTTTCAGTGATGAGAATTTTAGTCAAGTATTTTAGATGTACATGGCATATAAAATGAGCTTGTTTTAAACTTCGTATACTTTTAGTGAGTTTGATTTTCATAGGCATTTTGCTTTTGATAGTCTTGAAGGAAAGCTTTATTAAAAATATATTCTGAATTCTTGCACTGTGTTTCTTCATGTTCATTTTATTTCCATCAGCAGAAAATAATTTTCATGTTTTACTAATATGAATATATCTATTAATTTATTCACGACAGCAGTAATGCATTTTATGAATTTGATGGGAAAGAAGGGTTAATTTTGAGTTATTCTGAATGGCAAATAATAATAAAGGTAGCTAACTAGGCATTAAGCAGGCATACAGTTAAAAAAAAAAAAAAAATAGCCTTGTGCCATATTGTAATAGTGTGGATAAAATTCACAGGGTTCGTAGCGGTCCTTACAAGTGCTTTTATAAGTCCTTATATTTGAAAATAAAATATAAAGGCCCTTATAGGTGCTTACTTTTTCTTTAAAACCCTTATTTTTTTGTTTTTAGTGTTTATTTTTTTGCTTTTAGTGCTTTTTTTTTTTTTTTTTTTTTTTTTTTTTTTTTTATGAGCCTACCGAAGCCGAAACTAAATAAACAACTTTTCTTCAAGCCGAAACTAAATAACAACTTTTCTTCGAAACTAAATAAACAACTTTTCTTCGTTATATGCAATGTCAGATGGTGAATCATACTCCCGGAAATTGCTTTCCCCCCTTTCTCTGCATTACCGTAACCTATGGTGCGCAGTGCGTGCGAGAGTACAGACAGGTGCACGTCGCTCTATTGGTCAAAGAATTGCAAAATGGTAGAAAATTCCGTTACATTCGGTATTCTTTTCCTCCCACCCAATACTACACACGTTTAAATTTCTATCAAGATTTTAATAACTTGCATTCTCGTTCCACGTGGTCAGTTCATATTCGTGTTTATTATGATCGTTATGCTTATATTATGAGTATATGCATGAATATTTATAATAATATAGTTGCAGTAACTGCTGAAGTGTAGATAAACTTCCAAAAATGGGTGTGTTTTTACACAGATTAGCTTTCTAGGGAATAATATTCGGAATGGCTTAAATAAAAGGAAGGTAATCGAATAGTCAAAATAATTTCTTCCCCCCCCCCAATACATTATACAGTACGGAGGTTGGGAGGTTCTCCACTTTCTCCGCAAAATCTCTAATATTGAAGCAGCGGATTCCCCCCCCTTTCCAGTCTGGATTGAATAGGACTAAAAGTTTTGCGGTCTACCCAACCTAAGCGAAGATTGATTCTATAAAATTAGAATCAGAAACACCCCAAATTAGTAAGTCTTTCTTTTCCTTTATTTAGTTCTTTATTCTCCAAATACCGGCAGCTGTTGATTCCAATTGCTTAATATCACATGTGGAAGAATTACGCTGCACGTATTGCACAATAACATTTGCCGTATTTTGCAGAGATAATTAATTTTGATGTTCCGTCTGAGATTTGTTTATGAACACTTGAAAGAGTTTTTCTGTGCTTTCTAAGTGGAATATTTCTCAGTTCTGTTGGTCTGTTTTTATATGATGCACAGATCGAAATGTCAAAATCATTTATTTAGCGGGGAGAGAAATCTAAAAGAACGGCTACTATCTCCCCCCACTCCTCTTTTTCCAGTTACTATCCGGAATATTTGGCAATTTCCGAGTATGCGGGTTAGTTAAGCTTTTACTGTTAAAGGAGACTGCATGAAGCAATTTCCCGTCTTCTGATTTCAGAAATGTGCCTCTTTTTTACTTAAATTACTTTGCTTGGAATATATGTTAAGGGAAAACTGTTATGCAATGAAAATTTAGAAATTGTTCAGAATTTTGATTTAAGTTAAATTATTTAAATATTAATATTAGTGGAAAAATAAATTGTATTTTTTATTAGGTGCCAAACGAATACAATTGATATGGCTTACTATTATTTATTTTCTATATTTTGAACTGAAATTTTGTAGGGTTTATATTTATTTTAACTAACATTTATTTTAAGTTTAAACTATCTTTCTTGTCAAGCCTTACTTTCCCCTGGAATTGCCAATGCCAGAGTATGTAAATTTTAGTAGAACGTGCAAAGTATTCAAAATAGTCAGTGGAAGTATTCTGAGTTAAATAGAAGGGAAACAAGTTCGAAAGGTGCTTTCTTGCTTCACGAGCGTGGAGGTGGCTAGTTAGAAATTGAAGAACCATACGTTTCGGCTTGTGTACTTGCCTCGGCAGATAGTTAAATCTTTCAATGTGATATTCAGAAGCTTGCTGAATTATCAGCTGTATCTTAGAATGCGGTTAGGTTAGTTACGTTTAGAGAGCCTCGTAGGTAGTCACTTGTTATTATTCATTTTTAGTTTTTTATTTGTATTTTACCGCCGGGTCGGCGTAGTTTGTGAGCGTCGAGCACGCGTCTGTAATTTCTAAAGTTGAATAAAAAGTGATTTAAACCCTTCTCAAGACTTTGTGTACCTTCCAGTTCATAGCAGTCACCACTATTGTTGCGTGCAGGTTGGGAGCGCGCTACATTACAATTTCATCATTAAATCTTGTAATATAGTTTAGTTCTGCATGGTTTTTTTTTTTTTTTTTTTTTTTTTTTTTTTTTTTTTTTTTTCTCATTGTAAACTAATTCTGTAAATTGGACTGTCATTTAAAATTTAAAAAAAAAAAAGTTAATTGTTTTCCATGGTTGAGGTAATGCTCATTTTCTTAATAAATATTGCATTGCTTATATTTTAAATTACAAGTCTAATTTTTCTTTTAAGGTTATGCAGTTGTGTAAAATATAATTCATTAGACAGGTGCTTATTTTTTTCCTTAAAATGTGCTTGAAAAGTTCTTATAGGTGCTTATTTTTTTAACTAAAATGTAGGTATGAACCCTGATTCATATTCATTTCTTAGATTTATACCTATCAAAATAATCTCAAATTTGTATCATTTTTGGAATTTGCTTAGCCAAATTTTATTGCTCATGCCAGCTATTAACACTTTGATCAGATCTCAGATGTCTAATAGACGTTTCATACCACTTGTTCCGTGTACTGCTGATGAGTGCACATTGTTCTTCTACATTCATGTTGGATATTTCTGCAAGTGATGGAAAACGTTAGTAATTTGCTTGTGCATCACCCCAATATTTATGGCACACATGCACATGGTTCTAGCAGATAATTCAGATATTGATGGACACGTGCATATTTGTTTAGTTTAAAATAACCAAGTTCGAAGTAAATTGATTGCTTAGCAAAAAGATATTTTATGACAACAGTATGATCTAATACTGGATTTGTATAAATGTATGAAGTTATCAGAATCTCTAAATATGTGAAGAAATTTACAGGTTGAGAATTTTTTATATGTGTAATCACTTTCCAAAATGAAATAGTTATCAGTTCTTAGTTGTAAACTGACGATTTATATTACCAATCTGTCATATTTTGAAACGGCAGTTCTTTGCTATTACTGCGTATACTGTGTTATATAAATTGAAATAATAATGTGTGTGTATTGTTTTAAAGTTTTTATTCATTTAATAGATATTTGTTGGAAAAATTCCAAAAGATATTTTTGAAGATGAGCTTATTCCACTTTTCGAAAAATGTGGACCACTATGGGATCTGCGTCTCATGATGGATCCCTTGACTGGCCAAAATCGTGGTTATGCATTCATAACTTTTAAAAACAAAAATGGTGCACAAAATGCAGTTAAACAGGTATGTTAGTTTTAAGTTATTATTAATATAATGTCTTTCTCCATGTCCTTTGAATGAAATTTTTTTTCTTCTTCTCCATAGTTGGATAATTATGAAATAAGGAAAGGTAAATTTATTGGTGTTACTGTGTCTATAAATAATCATAGATTATTTGTCGGAAACATTCCAAAAAATAGAGGAAAAGATGAGCTCTTTGAAGAATTTACCAAACATGCCCGTAAGTTGCATACATGAAATTATTTATAAATGTATTTTTGTATTAAGTGTATATATGTATTTTATATGATTTTTGTTTTAAAAGTCATATTTCCTTTTTCATTTAGCTGGTTTGACAGAAGTTATAATTTATAGTTCACCAGATGATAAGAAAAAAAATAGAGGATTCTGTTTTTTGGAATATGATTCTCATAAAGCTGCATCATTAGCTAAAAGAAGATTAAGTACGGGGCGTATCAAAGTGTGGGGATGCGATATCATTGTTGATTGGGCTGATCCCCAAGAAGAACCAGATGAAGAAACTATGTCTAAAGTAAGTTTTTAAAAAATTCATCACTTATTTTGAATTCTGTTTGAATTGCACTGTTTAATCTCCATTCTTATTCTTATTTAATCTTGTATGTCAAATTTTTTAAATGTTATTTTCCTGCACTGTTTTAAGGTTTCATCACCAAGTTTTATATGTTAAGAAAAAATGGTGCCGAAATCATAAAAGTGCAGTTTTATAGTTTTACTTTAGAAACATTGATGAACATGAAATTCTTACAAATCAACATTCTGATCTATGAAATTTATAGAGGATTCTTGATCAAAGAAGACCTGCTTTGCAGGTTTCCAGCAACTTTGGTTTCCAGTAACCTTGAAAATCGAGAGATTCACATGCACATGTACAGTGTGTGTTGAACAAAAGGAAATACTTTCCCATTCTCCTATGAAACAAAATTGGTTTAATCCTAGTATATAGAGGATTTGGCAACATTATGATGAGCAGTAAACAGGACATTTTGGTGTTCGCAACAGTTTTCAAAATCGTGCTAAGACTGTATCATATACTAAAATTTTACCGCAAAATCTTAACCCCCTTTTCTTAAAAATGTTATTACCTTCTTTGTCATTTTGCAATAAAATAAAAAAAATAGTAATTAATCATCTAGGTTAACCATTTAATATAATTAATTATATTTGCTAAAATACCATTGATTACATTTAATGTGGTTTCTTCCTTTCTAAGTTTATTATTAGTTCAGATTTCAAACAGCTTTCTTTGGCATACTCCTGAAACTAAATCTAGCAGTGTTATGACATATCATAATGAAATTTAATGCAGACATTTTTTGCTTATGTATGCTGCTAAACGAATATAAAATACCTGAATTTATTTTAAAATATCATTAAATAGATTTCTTTCGTTTAGCTGCAAAATGTCAAAAAAAAAGGGAAGACATTTTTTAATCCAGATTGGGTAGATTCTAATCTGTCTTCAGTGGAGAAAACAACTATTATAGTTGTAATCATAATGCTTTGGGGATAAGTTGTATGTAATTTGTAAATTTTTGTGTTTTCAAGTGGTACCATAATTACCTCTCAGCACAGCCAACACTGACTACATGAGTATACTGGAATTTTCTTTAAATGCACCTGGAAAAGTCAGGTAATTTTATTCTGTTTGATTGGCAACCCTGTTAAAGTCTGCAATATATTATTAGTAAGATAAATGATAACACTTTCAAAAAATTGTTGAAGGATATTTCAATTCCGATTTTGGATTTGGAAGTAATTGTGCTCTGCCCTTATTATTATTTATATTATTATTATTATTATTTTGTTTAAAATTTAATAGCTTGAGCTGCCACAGAATATAAATAATAGTTTAACTTAAAATTTGCCATTGAACTGATTGATTCAGAAGTATTCCCTTTCCCATTGTAGTTACATTGCTGGAACTGAAATTTTTCTGCACTTCTAAAAGATGTGTTAAGATTTACATATTTTAATTTATTCTAGTTTGAATTGGCTTTTTTGTTGCTATGTTTATTGCATTATAAAGAAAACTGCGGGTTCATTGAAAGTGATATATTTATTTGTTATAGAAATTATTTTAATGTGGCAATCCAGTTTTATTTCATACAGTATTAAAAATTAATGTGTTATGAAGCTGGTTTTACAGTGTAATTTTTTTTTACTTTCTTTAAGGTTAAAGTTTTATATGCTAGAAATTTAACTGCTGATGTTACTGAAGAAAAATTAAAAGAAATGTTTGAAGCTTATGGAAAAGTTGAAAGAGTAAAAAAAATCAAAGACTATGCTTTCATCCATTTCGATGACAGAGATCATGCTGTCAAAGCTATGAATTCTCTTAATGGAAAAGAAGTTGGTGGTGCCCCTATGCAAGTCTCTCTCGCCAAACCCCCATCAGACAAAAAGAAGAAAGAAGAAATTTTGCGTAATCGTGAAAGACGAATGATGCAGATGATGCAACAGCGAGCTATGTGAGTTTTTTTAACCAAAATATGAAAGCATGTTTAATAAATCCTTATTTTAAAAACAGATGTAATGAATTGTTTTTCAGAATGAAGATTTAGTAAATTATTTTCCTTCATCATTGAATAAAGTATTTAAAATTTGAATAATGTGATGTACAGTTAAATATTTAAAATTTAGTCTGTTAAAAAAAAGAAAAAGGAAGCAAATTGTGAATTATTTACAAAGTTATGGGACTATACCATTTCTCTTCCCCCCCCCCCCCCGAAGAAAAAAAAAACTATTAATGGACATGATTCTGTCATCTGAATGCAGGGTTCATATGGTCCTCAAGTCCTTAGGTTCTTTTAGAATCGATTTTTGGTCCTTAAAAGTCCTTAATTTTGGCCAAAAATTGGCAGAAGCTTAATTTTAATCATGAGAAATTTCTGTATGTTTTTATGACTGCCATTTTGAAGGAATATATTTTTGGCGATTCATTGACATTTCATATATGGTTACCTTTTGAATGGGTTATAATTTGTTCCTATTTCTAATATAAACAATAGTATACTCAAGTTTCTAAGCAAGAAGTGGAACATAAACATTTCAAAATTCATTTTCCCCTTTTTTTATTTTATTTTATTTATTTATTTATTTATTATTATTATTATTATTATATTTTTTTTTTTGTTAGCGTCAGAACATGCCTCTATGTTTTAAGTTCTTTTAAATAAAAGAAGCTTATTTAAACCTTTGTCTGGCATTGTAGTTACTTTCAGACATAATTTGCTTCACGTCTGTCGGGGGTTTTGGACTATTTAACTTTAACTAAATCAAGTAAATCCTCATAGGTGTATTGAAAAGGTTGACAAGTTAGGAGATAAAGCATGCAAAAACTAGTGAGAACACTAGGTTTGCGTATTGTGACAAATTTCTGAATCTTAGAAAAGATGCTTAAAGAGAAGTAAATTGATATAAATTAGACAAAATATCTGGAAAGCTTCAAATTAAAGACTCATAAATATTTGTTGAGTGTTCTTGTTACAAAACATAAGTCTTTTGTAGCATTAAATGTGTAATTATCCTAGTATCATTTAAGAATCAATGTCATAAATTACATGTATTTTAAATTGTTAAATTTTATTGGATTGTGATTTTAATAGGCTTTTTTTTTAACAAATGTTGTTAAAAAATAAATAAAATTTGATAGTGGCCATGTAAATCCATAGTGACTAAGGTTATCTAACTACCTAATTTAATTAGCTATAAGTAACTGCTTATCTAGTTACTTTCAAAACTTGCCAACCGTGCCTACATAAGGCCTTTCAGGTTTCTTCCAATCAGCAGGTCTTTCTGAAGGCAAACAACAGCAGGGACAACATCCAGTCTTTTGTTATGAATTATGTTGATTATGATCTTACTTCTAATTTTAAGCTGTGCCGCTTGACATAAAATCTACCTGCTATTTACTAAACCTCTAGACTGGGCAACTGTGTGATAAAATGAGACATTAAAAAAAAAAAAATCAACATAAAGCTAACTTAGTAAAATGTAAATAAAATGTCACTTATTTTCTTGCAAATATTTCCAACTATTATGAGTGTAAAATACTTAATGCTACTTGATAAATTTCATAAAGTTTATTTTATTCTCAAACTTATCAGTTAGTTCATGTTTAATAATTATGCATCCTACTTACTGATCTATTTTATTTTTAGGATGGTATTATCAGTGCAGGATTTATGTATAAGCTATGCAAGTTATAACTTAGGCCCCAATTTCTTAGGGGCCCCCCAAATTAAAATATAGTATAACAGACTCATAAATTGCCCCATATCTCAAATAGCTTAGAGTCTTATCAAAGCTAATTCCATCTCTGCGTATTACAAACGTGAAGTTCGGGCATAGGTAATCATTTTTATTGAATTTATTCAGTTCCCATTTGCTCATAGGTCGTTAATTTTTTTTTCATTAATGGTCCTTAAAAGTACTTAATCCGTTCCGAAATGTGTACGAACTGTGGAATGTGGTTACCAAAACAGAGATTGGAGCAATTAACTGTATGAAGTTTGTGCTGATAGTGTCTAAATGGAGCTTCTGGTAAAATCAAAAGGCCTAACAAAATAATATAATTTGATAAAAATCTTTTTATGAAGTTTAAAAAACGTAGCTAGTCGAACATTGCTTATTTATGGAATTAAAGAGGCATCAGTTCCTTTAGAACTCTACATAAATGATTGGTGCAACTTTGGTGGGATCTTTGCCAACTTGCATAGTTGGCAGGATAATATGTAAATAAAGAAAATTTTACACTCGTAAGAAAAAATAGAAAACAAAATGTTTGATTTTGATACCACAAAAACTGACATTGATAGATTTCAAAATTTGTGATATTTGAAGTCATTTTAATTTGCTATGAGGGTAAAGTTTGTGAGTAAATTAGAATAACTTGTGGTTGATTCCCCTCTTCCTAAATGGCAATCATTGATTTTTTTTAATGATTTACCAATGTTTGTTACACCTGATATGTCGAGAAATTTTACACAACTAATTTTTCATTTGCTGTAAATAAGTTAACATTTGCATGAAGTTTTATTGCTTTAGAATCTTAATCTAGTAATGTCCATTATTAAATAACAAAGAATATGTATGTGTACATGTTCCTCGCATTGCAGAAAAACAACAGTATCTAGAGCAATAAGGTTTTCAATGTACATAGTCAGATCCTAGGACTTGCACTACAGTAACTTTTCCAGTAAGAAGTTTAATTAATTAATTTGTTCTTATAAAATCCTGTTATTATTATTGTAACACTGTTGAATTTTAAAATACAAATGCAGTGGATGAAATATATACTGTACATGCGAGATTTCCTCCTATCTAGATGAAAACCATTTTTTTTTTACATTGCATGCTGTAAAATCTCGTGATCTTTGTTTGGTAACCTTTTTTTACCCATTTCACAATTTTTTTTTTTTTTTTTTTTTTTTTTTTCCCCTTTTAAATCGTATTTGGCGTACAGCATGCATTGCGGTGTTGTCATCTTACTTTTTTTTTTTTTTTTCACCTCTTTGATGTTCCAAACAGTTTTCTTTGTTGCTTTATAATGCTCATTAACTTTCCTCAAGCAACCAGAAAATTTCAGGTGTGTTTCCAGATGCACCCGTCATTAACCCTAATCTCAGTCCTATATTGTAATAAAGCTGCTGGTAAAAGTATTTTGTAAAATTATCTAAGGTAGTAATTTTTCTGTTTATGGGAAGTAAATAAAACTTTCTTGTTTTTAAGTTATGAGATTGTTTAAAAATTACATTTGCTTATTTTAGGATGATGGGTATCCCTCCTCCTCCACCTCGTGGCAGAGGAGCTAGGTTACCATTGCCTGCAGCTCGCACTTATGGTAAGTATGCCATTTATAATCTGGCCTCTTTTGATAACTTGTGTGCTTTTTTACACTCTTGTAATAAATTTATACTTAGCTTTCATTCTTTTCTCCAACTGTGCATTGCTTACAGCATTATTCAGTTCTTTTTGCTTGCAAATTTCCCCTTTCCCTTTTAAAATATATTCCCCACTTATATGCCAAATGATTTTGCTTAACTATGCTGAATATTAACTTTGTATGATAAAATTTAAATATACATATAATGTAATAAGTTCATTTCTTTTATGCATTTGATCAGCTTAAACATTATGCTAAAATTAGTATGTAATTTTGTATTTAATAGCTATCTCTTTTTTTAAATGTTTATAATTTTTTAATGCATCAAGCAGCTATATATTATTTTGTAGCTTTCTGAGCTTAATATTTCAAAAATATTTTTATTAATGAGTTGAAATTGACAGTCACCAACCAAATCAATCGAAACCACAATGCTTATTGCTTTCTGTCAGATTATGACTACGACTACTACGGGTATGGTGACTATCAGGGAGGCTACGCCGCCGACCCCTACTACGATGATTATTATGGCGGCCGCTATGACGACTATTATGACTATGGATATGGAGCAGCACCCCGTCCCAGGGAACCGGTCGGCCGAGCCCGCGCTGGACCTGAGAGGGTGGGTTATGTTGCTGGAGTCTTGTCCTCGATAGTTCATCATTAGCTACAGTTTCCACTAGGAACAAAACTCATGAGGTTGGTCAAGTGTCTCGTAGTACCATTTATATTTAAAGACACTGTCCTCCCTCGAGAAATATCATATCCGAGCTGACTAATGTTTTTAGGCAGAACTCCGTGTTTCTTCTTCCTCTTTTTTATTTTTTGTCTTCTATTATCCTAAAACTGCTTTGTGCATCTGCCGGTAACTTTAATGCTACTACTCTGCTGTCTCTGCTATTCGGCCTCTGTGTATCATCTAACACTCGTCTTTAACATCTCAGTCCGAATTTGAAATTAAGATATCTAAAATTTGATAAAAAAATAGCTCGGATATGATAGTGTTTTGTTTGTTTCTGTGTTATGCTTTCTTTGTGTGCTCTTGCTTGTTAGATACTTATGTATTTGTCTTGCTCTCAGAAATAGTAGTAATTTTATGAGACATGAGTACAGCCATTCCTTGTTAATGACTGTAATTTGTTTAATATTCTGTTTTGAGAACTAAACCTCTTTTTTGGGGGGGGGGCTTCATGCTTCGCTCTTAGGCATTTACACAACCTTTTTATTTAATTGAAGAGTTTCTGAGTGCTTGATAATACAAATATAGTTAGTAGTTCATTTTTTAAAATTAGTAAAATAAACTGTCATTATATTATTATTTTTGTTATATGAGTAAAACTTATTTGAGTAAACTTAATTGAATATAATTTTTGTTATATGAGTAAAACTGTTTGGTGAAAAATCATGAAAAATAAAATCTTCAAAATTTTGGAGTAGGATAAAATAAAACTTTTATGTGCTAATGGGAATTTATATTCACCCAGCATGTCATGGTTGTTTTATTTAATATTTGTAAAAGTATTGCAATCAATATAAGATTAAAATGCCTTTTCCTTGTTATGTTGATTATTAGTAAAATTAATATATAAACAAAGGTAAATTTCTCCAAAGTTTACTTCTTGTTAATAAAACATAATTATTTAAAAATAACACATTCATATGCTTAAAAAATTGTTCAGGATTTTTTTTAATGTAAAACTTTTGATTTTTATTTTCCCCTGAAATATTATGCAGTTTCAATCATTAAAATAATTGTATCCCAAATTTACTTGATTAGAGGGATGGCTGTGCTTCATTAAAAAAGTTGTAATTTGCTTTTTTAATAACATTTATTCTGCATGTCTTAAATTAAAAATATTTATTTTGAAGTGTATTAATAGATTTTCAGTTTTTTTAATCATGTGTTGCGAATCACTAATGCAATAAGATTGTAATTGCACTGTGTTTTGTTTGGGGGGGGGCTGTATGTGTTAATAAATTTTAAAGTTTTGATATGCTGCTGAATTAAATTATTTTTTTCTTTAAAATTGAATTCTTATTAAACAGCATTAAAATGATGAATATAATCATTCTTTTTTTAATGTGGATTGAATTGCTTCTTGATCGTTTGACATATTTTAATGTAATGTGTTTACTTAAATAGAAGAAATGGAATAAAAAATATTTTAAAAATTAATCTGAGAAATATATGCAAGTTAAAAAAGTTTTTGCGTGAAATTACCTAGTAACATTTATTTTTTTACTTTTATAAAGAATAAATTATTGACTTGAGATAGTAAATCTGTTAACTGCTATGTATTTAAAATTTGTATGGTTAATATGTTTATAATTTTTTGTCTTATATATCTTTCATATTTGCTTAAAATTGAAATATTTATTTGAATGCATATTGATAGAGGACAGTTATGTTTGTTATGAAGTGATTCCATTACAATTCAATCTGAACTTTGAAATGTTTTAATCATTGCATTTTTAGGCTCGGGCTGGCCGTGGTATTCCCCGTGGCCGCGGCGCTGGCCCCCCAACTCCTCGTGGCAGAGTTCCAGTCCCTCCGCCCCTCGGCCGAGGTACCCGTGGAGTGTCCCGTGGAATACCTGGTCCCATCCCGGTTCACCTTCATGGGGCCATCCCCAGGGGAAGCCTGGTCGGTAAGCGGAAATTTGACACGGCGAGCCACCAAAACCAAGGGGACTCAAAGCGCCGCTTCCAGAATAGTGGGGCTGGGCAGTGGGGCAGCCACCCCATTCCCCAGCAACCTCTGAACTCCACTGGATACAATGGCTATCGTAACAGGACAGCGGGGAATCCCACACATTGGTACCAGGACTCATATGGCCAGCAGTGGGGCTAATTTAATTGACTTAAACAAACAAAAAAAAAATTCATCACAAACTCTAATACTGTTTTTTATACTTGACTTTTGATTGACTGTTTTGAGAAGCCAAACAGCATTTTTCATTGAAGAGGAAGTGTCCTTGTTTTAAAGGGGGGAGGGGAGCAATCTTCCTAGTACACATGTTAGATGATGGTATTACTGCTTTTGGTGGATGTGTTTTTGCCTGTTATTCCTGCCCAGACCTCTTCTCTTTTGTGATGTACAAAATTGCAGTTGTTACAATGCCAGAAAATTAGACATGGCTGATAGTAATTAATGTAATTTGCATGAAAAATTGTATACAGCTTTTAATCTTGTGCGTTTTGCAGCATCCTTCGTGTTTACCTGTTGACATATTATTGAAAGAATATTGTTTGTATGACTAGTTGATTCTCAGAGTTAGGAGTTGTTAAGTTTATGGATATATGCTTTTTAGCTGTTCATATTTTTCTTTTTATATTCATTTTTCCTTTCTTGGTAAGTCATAAAATTACTTTTTACTGTTTTTATTTTAGTGTATTAAAAAAAAAATACTGTTGTGATTATTCTGAAAAAGGTTTTATTCAAAGCATTGTTTTTTTGTTGCAGCTTTTGAGAATGTGTGCTTCAGTGTATTTTGCTAATAGTTTTTATGTTGCTGTAATTTTTTGTATGTTTTTGCTCTTTAAGGGTGTGATATAATTGGTCTTCATGAGGCAAACCAGCATCACTGCCAGTTACTGTGATAGCTTATTTGGGAATGCAATAGCTACCAAATATGAGTGTCAATAACTCTGAAAATTTGAAAATGTACTCATAATTTGTTTTAATTTCACAAATTAAATTAGAATTAAAATGTGGTATTAGAAGAATTAAATGGCTATTACTTTGTTTTCCAAATTGTTAAAATAGTGTAGAATTGCCCAAATAAATAGGACAACTAGTTGGGGAAGCTGATTTTTTTTTTTTTTTTTTTTTTAAATCAGAGAATTATAAAGGCATATGTTCCCCCTTTTTGTTTCTGGATATCTCTGAATTATTTTTCTTCTGAAGCAAACTGAACAGTATTCATGCAGAATAATTTTGTGCAAAGAAGAGTGTGGTTATCAAAATACTTATGTATAAAAAAGGAAAAGTTAGCTGGGTACGAAACCATTACCTGAGCTTATAAGTTTTTCTATTTTCATTGTAACAATGCTCAGAATTTTGATAAATTATATTTATAATTTTTTTTTTTTTACACATTGTCAGAGTAACTAATCATGAAGCACCTCATTTTAAAAAGTGAAAATATGTAGCAAAATTTCATTATCAGTGTCATAAAATTAAATATTTCAGACTCTCAACTGCTAGAATGATTTTATTTCCAAAGTGGGAGCTTCTAAGCAATATTTCTGAATTATTAAGTAATTCATAGTCAATTTTCCTGCTGAAGCAAACATTTTCACAATGATTGTTCTTGAAGTTGACAGAATGAACCTTTTCTGATATGTGTAGTTCTTGTATTGGGCATTGAGCAAGTGTCAGTTGCTTTTATATTTGTGTGTTTTAAATACATAAAATATTATACTCTTTGTTCATGCTTACAGTGAAAAATTAATTTTTAAGATGTTAAATACTTTCATGATTTTGAATTTATGCTAAATGAGAGCCACACAAGGTTTGCATTTTGGTATCTTCAGTATGTAGATTATTTTCATATGCTACTGAAAGGAATAGAAAATGCTCACATTAAAGATGCTCCAGAAAAATTTTTACCGTGAGAAATTAGACATGAGATTTTTTTAATGGTTTTTGAGTTCTTCTCATTTAGTAATTACCTTTATTTTTTTTTAAAAAGTTTTCATCAGAATAGCAGCAGAGTTTTTGAGAATTAATCCAGTTAAATTTCCAAATGGGCTAGATTTCTTAATTTGGTTTAAAATGCAAAGGAGATGCTGAAAAAGTTGAGTGTTACAAAAGTTTTGAAAAAACTTGCAACAATCATTTTCATTATACCATCATTTAGAAAGATTCTGTGAATTGTTCTTGCTTCTATAAAGAAATTATTCGTGTTGGATTATGGATGATATTGGACTATGCATTTAATGTAAAAGTAATTCATTTGTAAATGCTTTATATAATTTTTTGTAAATAATCTCATGTTTAATTTATTTGAAACCTTATTGGAAAACTAATTATAATAATGAATTAACTTCTTTCACTGCAGTTTTTGATGGAATTTTGGAAGCAGCTAATTCATTATAAGAGCAGAGGTTGACTAAAGTATTTTTTGGATGAGCCATTTTGATATCTGAGTATTGAAATTTTGTATCGACATAAAATTAATCGTGTTTTAAGCTTGCATTTGGCAACAAGTAAATATTTCCAGAATAAAGTGAAATTTGGACATCCTACCCATTCAATTTTTTAAGTTCTTGCATTAGTTAGTTAAATGGAAATGGTCTTGGTTAATGCCTAAGAGAAGAAAAATGCTTTTGTAAATGTTTTATGTGATTAAGGGAAACAAATTTGAGCTTTGTGTACAAATCAGATTTAAGATATTGTATCTCCTGGGAGTAGTTGTTAGGTTTACAATATATTTTAAAAATATTAAAGAATGTGATTAGCGATAGTTGATGTTAGTGCTGTTAATTCCCGGTACAATTACTGGTGTTTTTCCCTACTTTTTAGCTTTGTACATGTTATTGATAATGAAATGCTCTTCATTTAAAATGAATTGACATGTATTATGTTAGATATCATACTATTGTTGCTAAAAAATATATGCTGCAGCATTATTTTGTATTATGGTGATTTAGAATTTTATTACTATTTCAAACTTATATCATGTTTATTAACAGTGTTTACAAAGCACAACTTTTGTGCAATTGACTTTAAATTGTGTCATTGACATTAATTTTCATGTGGTAGTTAGTAGTTGTGATTATCTTAACAGTGTCAAAATGTAAACAGTTAATGCATTAAAATATGCATTATTGAAGAAACTTTTCAAATTGAAGAGCTCATTAGGAATTTCAAATTTCCTAAAAATGGACATTGATAATTGTTGTTTAACTTATTGCAATGTGCAGATATTATTGCTTTAGTATGCAATACTGTCCTATTGAGCAGCTGTGACACATTAAATTATATCGAGACCATATAAACACTCAACAGTGACATGTAAATTATGTATCAGATGAGTGTCGAGCTATTGAAGATTAAAGCTCTACCTGAAATCGTTTGTAGAAATCTACATTAAAAAATAGTGTCTTCCTAAAGGCTTGGCACTATGAATAATTTTGTGCTATGCTTTAAAAATGATCTACGACAGTACTCACTAGTTTGTCTATAAAAAGCCAAGCAACATTAGATATTGAAAACAAAAAGAAAATTGATTTGGATGATGTTATTGATTGGGAAAAAAAAAAACATGCATTTGGTTTTAGTTTGAACATGGTAAAGTATCATCTCATGATCTAGTTCATATGCTTTCCGTCAGATAGTATTGAGGGTTATGTAATCTGTTTCCACTAATCATGACTGAATTTTTAAATGGTTTCAAAAACAATTTAGCTGATATTTTCCAGGAAGTGGTATCACTTGTTAATAGGCAATTAAATTTAATATTCTTTTTTCAATATTTCATCATGCAAAACGAGAGGTTTAGGTTTCACTTCAAGTTTGTTTTGTAGATTTTATCTAAGCCTCTCTGTATTTATACGTGACAGTTTCTTGCCCACCAATTTTATATGTATATATTTAAAAATGAAATGTTGAAGTATATTTAGTCACCTTTTTTTATAAAAATATGGAGATTTAAATCTTCTAATGGTGCAGTTATTAGTATTCATTTTATATAATGTGTTAATAATTGTGGGTTTTGTCCATGTTTTTTGGATCATTTAATATACAAGATTTGTGACTTTTTAGCACTTACACACATCCAAATAAGACTGCATATCTTTTGTAAGATCAAAAGTTTGTTTTTTATATCTAATAGCTGAAAGGAGTACATACTAAGAGAATAAAAATGAGAGATAACTTAAAATATATGTTAAGAGCGATATTTTGTTATCCAGTATCTAAAACGAAATTCTGAAGTCAAATTTTCTGTAATATACCGTTGCAGAAAATAGGCTGAATTTGTTACGAAAAGTGCAGTACTAATGACTGTGCTGATTTTATTTTAATTTTCCTGATAATGGCAGCTGATAAACTACATTTATGAATGACATTTTGTCTTCACTTCCATGTTGACAGACTATATATACAAGAAAGCAGACCAGAATTAACAAGGCTTTAGGTTTGTGAATAATTGTTTTCGCACAGGCACCTAAGACATGCTGTATTTAGGTTTTGTCTGCACTTGTAAAAAAAATAAATATCAAGTAATGGAATTTACTCTGCTTGATCAAATTACTGTTCTATTGCTTATTTGCGACTGATTTCATCATAAATGTGCAATGACATTTGATCTTCTGGAGACCCAATATCTGGACTATGATTATTTACCGTAACATATGGAAATTTAAATGACCAGACTACAGAGATTCATGTTCAAGCATTAAGTGACATAATCTTTTCTCTCTTGTATTGGACTCAATTTTATTGCAAGAGTTGAAGAATTACCAAACCAAATGTAAAATCTGAATGTTTGGAAATTAATGATGAATTTGTGTTTTTAGGTGTAACTCTTTTAAGAGACAAATTTAAATAACGAAAAATGTATGGAGAAAAAGGTTTTTGTGTTAAATTCTTAATGTTGTATTAAATAGAATTGTGTAGTACCCGTTTGAAGCATGTTAAAAATTTCAGAAATTTTAAACTGGCACTAAATATGCTTGTGTATTTTTTGTTTTTTTGATTAAATGAAAAATTTTACATGTGTCATCATGTAAAAGAAAACAAATTTAATCATATATTTGTAATTCAATTACTCAACCTTTTTCTCCATTAATAGTATCTTTAAATATACATTCTGTGTTATATGAATTTTTCAACCATGTAGTATCTTTAATCTTCTTGTCATTATTATAATATATGGTTTTATTGTTAATATTTTGGCTTTCGTAAATTATGCTTTAATGGTGGCAGTACATATTGTTAGTTAAATTATCATTGTTGTGTGAATTAAAAATAGCCAAGAAATTCTTAACTCCCTTTTCAAGTTAAATGTGTGGTTTTGTGGTGTAAAATTTTTGAACTAAAATCTGATTACTAGATTGTTGTATGTTTTTATAAATGCTTGTATAATCTTATATGCATGTATAAGCTTTGAAAACAATATCAAAATGCACTAAGAGAATTAGTTAATGGTCGTCATTAGGTACCATTTATGGTGAAAATGATTGCCATTAAGGCACTGATTTTTATTTCTTGGTGTGCTTAAAATTTGTCCCATGGTGTTTGTGCACATAATTTGAAAGTACTGGAGATTAGTTATAATTTAGATTGAATTTTGGCTCAGCATTTTCAAATATCTTAAAATCATCATATTAGTATTTTGTTATGTTTATTAATTTTGACGTGTGATTTTATGTAAAATGATGTAAAACTGGATTTTATTTAGTACATTTATTCAATTACATTACTGCTAATATGGTGGTTATGTATGGTAACAGGTTGTTTTATATACAAAATCAGCTTAATATTTACTGTCTGTATTTTTTGTTGGAAAATCATGTATGAAATTTATGTGTTTGATTGTATCAACAAATTGTGTAGAAATTTTTATTAACTTCTGAATATAAATAATCAAAAGTATATAGATAAAACTACCTGCTTTTAAGATATGGAATTTGAACTAGTTATAGTTAGCAAGATCTTTGATCCATTTGCAGATACTTTCTTTTATGCATGTGCAATTTCATTTGGCTGTTACTTGTTCTTGGGCAAGTATTTCTTTTCTGAGTACTGATCAGTGGGTTATGTATGCTGTATGGAGCAACTTTGGATGAACACATTTTAAAACCTTTCTGAGAAATTGTTTTTTGTAAACAACTGTTCAAAAGTGTTTTAAAAAAAAAAAGATGCGCTCTTTGCATTGTGGAATGTTTTTCAAATCGTTTCACTTTATTTTTTATAGTTTTCTAGTCCTGCATTCGCCAGCTTTTCTCTTATAGCTGTTGTATTCTGGCAATATTTTGAAATGGGGAAAAAAATTGTTTTCTAATGTTATTATAACTTTTTTGAACTGTGTTTGATTCCCCCTGATCTGGTGGCTATGCCCTTATGTGAAAATAAATAATCTTGTAAAACTTGTCTGGAATAAACCAGCTTGGTTTTAATTGTTGAAATTTATTAAACAATTTTACATTAACTCATGTATGTGTATTGTTATATGGGAACTTTTGGATAATGGGATAATGTTGTGGGGGGCATAAGGGAGACAGTGAATCATGGGAAGAGATTGTATAAGAAATCGTAACATTATTCCTAAATAGTTTTACTTCACATGCTTTGTATGGTGATCTTGTGTTAAGACATTTATTTCACAAAAATTTAATTGTTATCCCTAAATAGTTCAATAATGATGCATTCATTTTTTCTGTGCATCAAGAGATGGTTATTGCGGTGAATTTCACAGATAGTACAGTTCTAGAATATATACTGCAGTAATCTTTACTAGCTAGTAAACCTTTGAAATGAATAAGCAGGTGCGCAAAACTCACTATGGCATAAATTGCATTAAAATAGAATAATAATAAATACTATAAAAGTACATTTTCTGAATCACTTCTAAGAAATAATAAAAGGTACTGGAATTATTTTAAAATTAATTTCATTTGCCCCCCCTTTTTTTTTTAATATTTTTCATGAGTGTTTTCCCATGCAATTGTTTCAAAATATTTAAATGTGTGCCAATTTCCTCTTGAAAAATAATCCTCCCCCCTAAAAAAAATCTTCTGGCACTTTTTTTTCAGAGTTGATAGAGATAGACTTGGATTTTTAGACTTTGCATCGTCGAAGGTGTATTTGAAGGCAAGATTCATAAAACTACAATTCCGTAAAATTTTGATAAAATGAGAAATCTCTTCATAGTATTAATACATAACGAATATGATTTTAAAGGAAATATGCAACAAATTTCTTTTCTTTTGCAGAATTTTTGGAAGGACAATGAAAAAAATTATTTGAATGTTCTTCCTTCTGGTCCCAGATGACTTTCTCGTAACACGTTTAACGAGCTTGTGCGCGTCATATTTTTTACGACATCTGGTAGTTTACAGTTTTTGGCATGGAAAAGAAAAACAGAAATGAGTGAATATTGATAATGATTTTGTTAAGAAATAATAAGCTTATTATTGCAAAATACATATGATGTCCTATTGAAATGAAAGTAAATTATTTTTAAATGTTTATTTTATATTAGTCAGGTGGAAAGGGAATAATGTATTTCATTATAGAAAATTAAAAATTTTTTATTTGATAACTATATTTTAAAATCCTAGCTAATTTTAATACTCGTTAAAGGCAAGTATAGACAAACAAAAACGGAAACTACACTCACCTTGGTAGGGAAAAAAATGTAAGATTAGCATTATTTCTGCAAGGAAATTTACTTCTTACTGGTTACAAAAACTAATTTTAATATTTTTATATCTAAAAAATAGAAATAAAAGGAAATAAAGAATAGTAATATTAGAAATAGAATACAGTGGAGTAAAAATAGTAAAACAGAATTCTGAAGATTCTTCAATGTTCGAAGTTCACATTGCATTCCATGTAAGTAATTTCGGTAATAAAATTACATTTGCACGTGTATCTTGCATTTAATAGATGCTGATAATCTCTTTTTTTTCTCTGTCAATGCAAACTACATGTTCCTCGTTTCGATGAGTGTTGCTCTCGCACTTCATCATTAGAAGAAGCATAATTACAACTTAGAAATGTTGAAATGGAAGGTAGTGTTTGAATTTCAGCATGCCAGTGAAGATGCTCTTTCATAAGAGTAATAGATAAATTCTTGAGGAAGATCCTTTGGCATGATGCTGTGTTAGCTGGCTTGAGGTAACAGTGCAGTCTTTGTCTCTTAAGTATTTGCCTTTTAGCAAACTTATGTTTGTACATTCCAAACTTTCACCAAGCATATTTATATCAATCATTTTAAGAAATGACCCTATTTGGCATGTTGTTTTTAGGCCAGGTAACACTTTCACAGTGTTCATTTTTTTAGTCTTTGAGCAGTTTGCATACTTCTCTTTTCGCCATTTCAAATATTTATTCTTACCAACATAGAAAATATCATCATCATTTCTTTTTTCTATATCAGTATCATCTGAAATATTGTTAAGATTTACTGTTGATATTATTTATCTCGATATCGCTATTGTTCTCACATCCAAAGGTTTCCCTATCTTTTTCTTCATCAGAATGCGAACAAAATCAGCTGGTTGCGCAAATTGTTTTTGCCATGCGAACCGATGTAAAAATTATAGAGTAGAATTTATACAAATTAAAATTATACATTTCAATTAATACCAAAAGATTATAAATTATTCGAGAAAAAGTAATTTCCAAATTTTCACCCATGACTGTTTGTTGGAACTTTTACGAAGAAGCTGCCATGTAGCACAAAAGTCCAGTTTAAAAAAAGTTGTATCACTTCTTGTTAGCACATTCCATTATGTGGAGAAGGGTTGAAAGGAAGAATAGAAATCATCTTTATACATCTTGCGGCTGCAATATGTGATAAATGCGCATTAAAAACGGAATTTGTCATAAACTTTGCGCATAGCATGCGTGCTGGAAGGTTAACTGCACCTTATTTTCTTACCTTTCCACTAGACACAAGCATTGAAGCAATCAAAGAAATTGAAAACTGATTCCTACTACGTAGGTTGGGGCAAAAGTCATGGCAACTATTTTTTTCCTTGAAGATCCCAGTCCGGTTGAAAAATGTGACATATACAGACGAAAGGGCAAGGTCTTAACAACGTGTGGGCAATGAATAGCACTGAAATATCGCAACACACGAATTTATGACGGTAGTATACAGGGCAATATAGCCTTCACCGTGCAAAAGAGTGATAACACAATACACATAAAGTTCATAGGACAAACCTGGGCCTAAAGACCTTCAATGTAGTCTCCTGCTGTCACCACATGCTGCCAACGATGAGAGAGGCACTGAATACCATTAGCTTCAGCATTTGCCGCACAATGGTGAATCGGGGTCATTCTGTTGGGCACAGCATTAAGCAATGTCTCTCGTGGTGCGAAAACCGCGTACCCATATGGTTCCTTAATCTTGGGAATGAGGTCAGGAGCGACGGTGGGGCTCCATTCTTCCCTCCCAACGTATTGAGTAAGCTGCCGTACGCACTCTGCTTTATGTGGTCTTGCACGTCAAGATCTGGACGTTTATCCCAACGCCACGGCCATCCTGTCGCACACGGAAGTCTTGTAGTACTGTGTGGTAGTTTTTGCTATGAGGAACAAAGTTGGCATACAAGAAGAACACCATGAAAGCCAAGTGAAGACGACGATCACCATCAATCGACTGGGAAGGATCTAGACTAGATCTACGCCTATTCTGTGGGACTGTGCAGTTCCGAGCACTGCCCTCTCTAACTCAGTACAATCAGCTCAAGAGAAGTTAAGAAAGCAGAGAAGGGAAGTACGATGTCACAGCGCCAGGCGCAGACCGGCGCGACGCAGAATGAACCGAATCTTGTTTTTTTATTTTGCTCCTGTCTGCACAGTACCGGTCGGGCCCAAACGTTGCCTACAGTGTTGACAAAAGTCTTAGGCTATAGATCACGACGATATAGCAAACGGTGGGCCCCCCCCCCCGCTTGGCCACGGAGTGCAGATAGCAAACGTGAAGAAGACGAGACAGGGCATACAGAAGGAAGGAAGCGAAGACGGCTACAGTCCCCAAGCCGGGCAAGGAACAAACACGCGAGCTAGTCTTAATGAGAGGGGGGGAGACTGATATTGCGGAACCGGGTTCTGAGGGACGCTAGCGAAACGGGACAGAAGGAAGTGGCAGTTTTTTGAAAGGATATAGAGCTTTTTTTTTGTTGAACATTATCCTAGGGTTTACTAATTCACTGGACCATTCCATCGCATTCTCCCTCGGAGAACGGCTATTTTGATGTAAGCGTGCTGCTCAACACTGGTTACTCCCATCTTGCACGGCACTCGCCAAATGACTTATTTCAGAGCCCTCGCTACCACAGAGCCATCTGTTGTTCTGCATACACACTATGCCTGCAGAACTACCATCTGACACGTATACGTTTTGTGATCCGTTACATATCTACAAGAAAAAAATAGTTTTCATTACTTTTGCCCCAACCCTCATATATGGTTCGGTGCACCAAACATAACTTCAGTGTTTGCCTTAAATTCCAAAAATTATTTTACTCGCTGCTTCACTTAATTCTAAAAACTATGTACTCTGGCACCAACCTTGACCATATATCATTTAATATTTTTTCTCAATACTCATTGAAAGGAAAAAGAAAAAAAATGAGCAGTTTCTTCTACATATTCTCAGTACAAGCGTGTTTTTAATTAACATAAATCTTTAATTAAATCTGAAATTTCTAAAGTGAAGAGGAAACTTGTTGAAGAGAAAATCGATTTCATAAAGACAAAAAAATAATTCTGCAGTGGGTACATTGTTGAAGCATTAACAGATCAGGAGATGAAGTAGAGGCTAGTGAGAATATTGATTTGTTTATTGAAACAAATTAGAAATGATGCTAAAGAGAAGGAAATTCATGCAAATTAGCTAACAGATTAAAATTTTTCAAATTAAAAATATGTGTAAATGTTTTGTAGGTTTTAAAGTACAGTCAAAAGTCGTTAATTCGGACACCCATAATCCGGACCTAAAGCTAAAACTTTCTGCGATGCGTCTTTGACCTGCGCGTAAGACCGATATGCTGTGCGCGTGCGAAATACGTTTACGCGCGTTTATGTAACGGACTATAAGCTATCTAATTATCTATTTCAGTTAATGTTGAGATTGCGTTGTTCCTTAATCTTCGAATTGGATCCGGCTTATTATTTTTTGCAGACTGTTACAGCAATTTTATAAAAGTAAGCTTGAACTTTCGATTATGTCAAATAGAATTTCCGATTATATATTTACTAATATGTAAAGGATCTACAAAGCAAAAGTATGTTCGAAATCCGAAAATGTTTATCAATTTCCATGGCGGCGGGGGGGACGCTGCGCGCAATGAATTGGAAATTGATCTGTCAGCACTATCCTTATCTTCAGGGCAGATGTTTTTTTATTTATTTGGCTTATAATTCCTTACTAAATGTAGTATTTCATCTCGGATGTACTCCGTCTTTGATTAT